AAATTAGGATATTCATAGTAACTAGTGTTTGCAGAAGTTATCTCGACAGCTTGGGCCCACTGAAATAAATGGAACGGTTTCCACTGAGTCAAGTGGATGCTGGATCAAGACCTTAACCCTCATTTGTTTGGCTTGTTTTTCTGGTGTCCAGCTTGAAACACCAAATGACACTGAGCTAAGCCTTGGTCTCACTGATGTCACTGAGAGTTCCCTGCATGGACCACTTGCAAGACTGGGAGTAAACATGAAGGCGGGGGATGGGGGGAGAGGGAACAGGGAGGAACAGATGACACATTGTGACTTTTATTTTATTTTGCATCATGTTGATTACTTATCATATATCAATTGATAACATTGAGCAAATAATAGAATCCTCTTGTGGGATTCATTTTAAAATAAATGTATAGCCAGAGATCAAAAATACAAAATATCTCTAAATACCATTATAACATCGCCAGCTCTGGCAATTTATATATATATGTATTGCAAACAATTTTTGTAGCCTAAAAATGCACACAGCCCTTAAGCTAGGTGAACCCAAGTATTGAGGGTTTATTCATAGATTCAGAGATTCTAGGACTGGAAGGGACCTCGAGAGGTCATCGAGTCCAGTCCCCTGCCCGCATGGCAGGACCAAATACTGTCTAGACCATCCCTGATATAGTTACTGACACAATACTACCAGCAAGGAGCCGTGTCCTGCACTGGGATACACAGAGCAGCACACCCATTGCTGATCCTGCAACATGATGAGCTCCCGCAACTCCCATGGAAACGAACAGGAGTTGAGAACGCCTGGCAGGATAAGGCCCTTGGCAAGTAGGCTACCCAATGGAACAGTGTTTATTCCACATAGTACACTGGGCTGTCGAGGACTGGTTCACCTGCTCCTGCCATACCAGCTGCAGCCCGTGTAACAGAAAAAGACACACTGGAAGCAGGGTGTGTCAGGAATCAAATGCAGTGAGGGCCTGATCCAAAGCCCATTGAAGTCAATGAAAAGATTACCATGGTCTTCAGAGTAGAAGCCGTGTTAGTCTGTATCCGCAAAAAGAACATGCTCTTCAGTGGTCTTTGGGTCAGGGCCCTTATCTACGTGTTAAGTATCCAAAATGGCTGCATAACAGCCATTTTGTATCTCTGGAGTTACTGCAGATTCAAACCGGGAGCCTCTGCTCTCCTGAAAGAGTCCAAAGACATGGGAAGTAATGTTTACACAGTACAACCACCCACATTTATCCTAAGGGTTTCTGGGCCATTAAAGCCTGCCTCGCACCGTCCTTAACTTCCCTCACAGCCAGATAGGTATGTGTCTCTTCTTGTTACTCAGGATGTAGAGCCTTTGTCTTTGCAAAGGAGTAAACCCTGAGATTTTAATGACAGTTACGTGATCAGGCCCTACAAAAAGGAACTTGTCCAACTTCACACATGGCCAGCTTCACGCGTAGCTCATTACACAGCCTCGTTTTGGCAATTCAAAAGCTGATGCTACTGAACAAGCTGCCAAAACAAAAGGGCTCAGCTAAATGCTTCTTTTTTATTAAACTTTCCTTGATTGCAAACTGATGGAACCAAGCCGCACGTATGTACTTAAACTATCTAAGTAGCAGAATACCTTGTTTGCTGAGCATCAAACTCAGCATCCCACAATTAAAATATATCTGCTCCTTCCTCGGACCATTCACGTCCCAAAACGCTGCACACTGAGCTTCCACTGATGTCACAGAGCACGGAGAGCAGATAGCCTTCATCAGCCCTAGCTTCTGGAGCCAAATCTGCATAAAATAGGTCCCAAGCTCTTGTGAGTATTCTCATTGGCTTTGATTACATGAATAAGTAAAGGTTCACACGGGTATGCATTTGCAGGAGACAGCCTATATTTTTCACCAATGCTAATGTTGTATCAAGGTTAAACAAGTGTCTTATTTCAACTGATGTGCAGATTAGCCAGTCTGAATCTAATTATTTGTTTTTACAGACCGCACAGTTTTAAGACTATTTTTCTGCAGAAAATGTAACACTATCTATCTCCTGAACTGTTCCTCTCCTAAAACAGTAATATATCTCTGCAGAGACATTTCCGCACCTAATTAGATTGACCATAGTAACAGCATTTGTGTTGGGGCCGTTCATCCGCACAGTTGGGAGAGTCAGTCTAGTCTAAAGAGCACTAGCCAATATGCAGTGTTTTTAGATTAGAAACACATTATCAAAAAGAAGGCTGGGAATGTGCAAAATAGGACAGCACTCAGCTCCAGAAACAAGAGAGATTTATAGCCAAAATAGTTACTATAGGAACTTAATTAATGGGGTAGTAGTACTAAGGCACTGGCGCACAACTTGTTCACATGCCTGCAACCACAAGCCGCTTAAAGCGTACACAAACCTTTAAACAAAATATGATTTCCATAAGCTTGCACCTAAAGTATGCAAATATGCAAAAACAATCAGACCCGCAAAGGAGCCAGACTATTCATGGGTCATAAAGCATGGCAGAAAAGGAATGGGGATGGGCTGGTCAGCTGCTTTTGCTTAAGTTCTTTATTATGCAATGAAACCTTGTTACTGCTTTTAAAAAACTTCCTGGGGTCTGTATAGTTTGGGTAAAATCCTGCTAAGCTTAACCCACTCTTGCAAAGAAGTCCAGTGTCAGTGACTGCATTGGAGCCGTCAGCCTGAAATAGGCTGTGGCCCTTTTTTGGTCAATGCCGGGACTCTGCTTGGTTAATGCACTTGGATAAAAAAATGCAGATCCATTTAGGGTGACCAGATGTCCCGATTTTATAGGGACAGTCCCGATTTTTGGGTCTTTTTCTTATATAGGCTCCTATTACCCCCCACCCCGGCCGATTTTTCACACTTGCTGTCTGGTCATCCTAGATCCATTATTAATTATGATACATTGAAAGCTGAACTAACATGACACCAGCAATACAGGAGACATCTTTTTAACCCCTCCCCATCTACAGACCAGCAAAAAAAATGTTGCACTGGCCATGCAAACCCAGGGAAGTGACTGGGACTCGGGGTGTGGTCAAGGCCTGCTCCGCTGAGCAGAATGGACACAACCCCAAGCATTGGGCAACCGTGAGTCAGCCCTTCCCAAAATCATCCCATTTCCTTAAACAAAATCGGGATTTTTTTTAAATAAAAGGGAAATGTGAGGCTCTTTTCCTTTTGCCTGCTTGGTTTGTGAGCCAGCCCAGGAGGGTGCACTCACTTCCCCTGCCAGCCTTTCCTCTGCAAGCAGGGGGGCTAGCAACTCGCTCTTGTTTAATGAGCGCTGACAATCTCTGCACCGGGAGCTGGGGCTTGGAAGAGGGGGAAAATACCCCAGTCCGTAGCGCAGGATAAAAACCAGGAGTGTTGCCAGCCCGGCTTGTGCCCGGCTTGGCTGGAGAGGGACCCCTTTGCAGCTACCCCCGGGGACCAGGCAGCAGGCTAAGGAGGGGTGGGCCTGCCTGCCCCAAGCACATGGAGAAGGCTCAGGCTTCCCTGCACCCAATACCAGGGCAATGGGGGGGGG